TAACTAGATTTTAACTTGTCACTTCAGATGAGTTACGTCATCTGCCGTACATTTAAACTTAGACCCTGAGTAAGTGCAGCACGGATTGAAAAATATTTGCTCAAATTATGGCCTATAAAGTGCTCTAATTTAGTAAAAAAAAATAATTTTGAGCATTATAAAAGTTTTAAGCACATGTACGCTCATGTCATTACACGCTTGCGCACGGTAACTCTCATTGAAAACCGCCTGTTGGGTAGGGCTTCATTACCAACAATGATAAAATTTGACAAAGATTTCAAGGAAGAAAGATGAGGTGGTCAAAAAAAATAATTCATTTTGACCATGATGATGTCATATAAACTATAATACTTGTGTAAATTGTCATTTAAAAATGCCTGTTCGTCGGTAATGGCAATCCAATCTGCCACCCTTTATCAGGTTGTCAAAGATTTGAAGAAAGAAAGAGTTGGGGGAAGGGTTAGAAAAATACTCATTTTCACCATATTGCCGTCATCAAAGTGAAAAATGGAAGTTTGTTTTACAAACTTATTTTTTGGGGCCAGTTAGTAACATTTTTGTTCTTTTCAATGTTTCAATTTTTCAGTGTGAACACGTGTGGTGCGCTTTTATCTGGGCGTGCATTCTTTTGTTTGAATTGGTAGTTAGCGGCATTTGTTTTTGGTAAAACACATCACATTCTTCCTCAACCATTGTTTCCGAAGGTAATCTTTTTTTAAGAAAAAAAAAGCTCACCCACCCACCCTTCCCATAGTTATTTATGTGTCAGGTAGGCGGTTTTTTGGTCGCCAACCTTGCATTATAACACCCCTGTTCCAATTTTTGGGTTATTATGTGCAGTGTTACATCTTTTAGTAGCACTGCCATCTGGCCTATCAACAAACAATTTCTTTCATCATTTACTTTGGAACATTTTACAGTATGGACACAAAAAATGAATTACACTTTGTGAAAGGAAATTGTCTCTAATTTAGTCAAAAAGTGATTTGGAGCATTTTAAAATTTTGACGCACACGTGTGCGCATGCGCTATGGTGCGAACGCAAACTATTTCAGTACGTGACATTGAACCTTGACCTGGAGTTTATTTTTTTGAGATTTTTTTATCTTTATCTTCTCTAGGTTGAATCAAATTGAAAATTAAAATTACATCAAAACATGGCAGCAGAACAAACTGAATACAAGCCATCAATTCCAATTGTTGGTCATATTATAACTGATGATGACTTGGGGATTAAGAAGGTAAGATAGCTTACAACACAACTTACAGTTACAGCTTACACCGCATGTATAATTGTTTAGTGTCTTGGGATTTAGAAAGTTCATTCATGCAGTTTGTTCCATTTTTTCAATCTTTCATCTGCTGTTTCATGCTTCAGTTCTTGATGTCATCAATCATCATTGTCGTCATTATTCTTTTCATTCCTATTGGCCCTTTCCTCCCATCTCTTTCACTTTACATATTTGTTGCTAAATATAAAATAAGTGACAGATTTCTTTTTCATTCTATGTATTTGACAGTGTTTCCAATTTGAACTGCATTTTTTTTGACAATCATCATTCTTTCATTATTTTTTTATATTTCCTTTTATCATTTCAGCAATACAGTAAAATTGATTTTTTTTTTTTTTTATTAGCAAAACCTCGAGATAGCATAATCATGGAAAATTGGTTCTCGTTTTTTTCAGGGTGTGAAGCTTCAGCCTATTAGTTTCTCCAATGTCATCAAATTACTTACGGATCCTCATTCGGTGAGACACATTTGTTTGTTTGTATTGATGGTAACCACGACAACAATGATAGCAATAATTTATTCATCAATGATTTATTTTTAAATTAAAATATTTTTTTTTTATTTATTTTTTTTTTCAATTTCAAAAACAAACAAGAAAATTAGCACTTCATTCTACACTTAAAATGATAACTGAGACTAGAATATAAAAGAAATGCAAAATGGCAAATATAACAAGCTCTGAACTTGCATGTACAATTTAAATATATAAATGTTAACAAATTTTAATTGGATATTTATGATTATAACACAATTCTTTTTCACACTCGCACACTCATGTTGGTTTTTTGAACAATTATGTATTTTTTTCTTTCAGATAACACTTCACAGTCGTCATACTCATGCCCTGCAAAGGCTAATCAAGCATTATCAACATGGATTTGTATCCTTTTATTAGTTTTTAATATTATTTGACACCTCATTGGTTTAAATTTACAGTTGTATACTGTGTTCAATATTTTGAAAGTAATGACTTTTATGTTGTACGTTACTGAATCATGAAATAATTCATTAAATTTTTCATCAAATCATTAAAAAGTGTTTTTTTAACATTGAAAATAGGGAAAATAACAGCATAGCATGGTGTATAG